TTGTAAATGGATCTTTTACAAAGTGAGTTTTCTAAAATATGATGTATTTATGATTAACTATGATGCTTATAGTGACTTACGTGTTCTCTCTTGTGTCAATAGAGGCGGGTCTGCTTCAGTTTATTGTACTCTTGTTTAGCCATATTCTCGTGCTCTAGGAAAATGTTGTTGATTTTGCGTATTTGAACATCCTTTTAAATTATTTCATTTTGTTGAAATCTAAAATCCACACTGCTGTGAAAACTCCAATTGTATTTAACGCTGCTCCATTTTGTAAGTACACTCAAGAAATAAGCTTTTATGTTATTTTTATCTGGTCCAACCTCATGTTTACAAAGCTCCATTTATAAAAGAGAACATTAAACAAAGATTTTAGCAGCAAAAAATTCTCTGAACTGGGTTAGTCAGCATTCCAGTGGAACTAGTTTGAGAAACCTTTATTGTGTATAAAGCAGTCTGACATCCACAGTTGCCATTCAAGATTCCTTCCAAAGGTGCATACAGTTCTTGTACACTGAGCTATTATTATTTTAAAACCTCAAAGTCTAAACGTACAAAGAAATAATACTGGGCTTAAACAATACAAGTATTTATGCTTTCAATCTTAATCAACATAAAATCATTTATCAGTTGTAATGATAAGTCCAGTCCATGCTATTTGTAGTCAAAGTGATGTCCTTGTAATGAATGTGAAAAATAATTTGCTGCTGTGTAATTATCCTGCATTACATTAAAAATCCTGAAAAACAGATCTGTCGGTCATGAACATGTCAATGCTTCAGCCATATATCCCCTGCAAAAAGTGCTTTTTGCTTGTCTTCTCAAACTTTTCTCTAATAATGTTTGACAGTTAAAGGAATTATCTTTGTAAAAAGTTGTTAATTCAATTGAATAAGGCTGATACATTAATAGACTTGAATTTTAAGGAAAGGTTAAGGTGTACCTTCCACTTCTTTCTGCCACAAAGGAATAATACCTTTTTTATCTTGATTCAGGTAGGATAGATTAGGGGTGACGGTGGCACAGGAGTTAAGTGCTCGCCCTGTAATCGGAAGGTTGCTCAGTTTGTTGTCATTGTGTCCTTGGGCAAGACACTTAACCCTCCTTGCCTGCTGGTGGTGCTCTGAGGGACCAGTGGCACTAGCTCTCGGCAGCCTCTCCTCTGTCAGTGCGCCCCAGGGCAGCTGTGGCTACATCGTAGTTCATCCCCACCAGGGTGTGTGTGTGTGTGTGAATGGGTGAAAGACTGATTGTGTTGGAAAGCACCTTGAGGTGTTCCAGGACTCTAGAAGGTACTAAATCAAATACAGGCCATTTACCATATTTACATGAGTGTACTTGCTATATAATTGAATGTTTGCTTGAGTTAACCTAAAATTATCTTTTACAAGTGTACTTAAAGTTTACTTCAATAAATAAATTTAGTATGAGGAAGCATTCAAATGGTAAATGGAATACGTTGTACTCTAGTACATGGTCCAAAGTATACTTGATTTATTCATATATAAGATTACTGGAGGCGCACAGAGGTGAGCCACATCACAGCTGAACTGAAGACGGGAGCTTTCGGTTCTGGGCTGCCAACTAGATTTAGCTGAGGAGATGTATTTATTTATTTATTTATTTATTTATTTACCAGGAAGGTCCAATTGAGATTTAAAACCTAATTTTCAAGGGAGTCCTGGCCAAGAGGCAGTAAAAGTGACAGTTAAAACATTTCATTAGTCACACAGACACTGTGTTCTGTACTAAATTCCATAAGGCTGTTACAACTCAGGAAATCCGCCTCAAGGGCTCAGTCTGGTTTTAAATGTATTCAACGAGATAAACTTGGTTAATTTCCAGTTTTTCTGCAGCCTGTTCCATGCAGAAGGAGCAGAAGGAACCCAGTTCGGTGCGAGCAAACGCAACACAAAGTACGAATTGATCTTTTGCACGCAGACTGAGAAGTTGCACGTCTCCATGAGATGAAGTGGGTGTAGGTGGGTAGTAATCCAAGCATGGCTTTATAAATGAAGGTGTACCAATGTCCCAACCTCCTGGTGGACAAAGAAGGCCATCCCACTTGAGAATACAATTCACAATAATGGGTCAGTGGTCTGCAGTCAGTAATAAACCTCAGCGAGTCATGATAAACCACCTCAATCTTACCAAGACACTGTGCTGAGGTATTCATGTACAAAAGGTCTCCATAATCCTCAGAAGAAAAGCACAGTTTATTTCAAAAAAAGAAACCCAGTTTGAGTTTGAGTTTTTTCACAAGGTTATCTATATGGGGCTTGAAGGAGAGGGAGTCATCGAGCCACACACCAAGGTTCTTGCATGCATGGACCACTTCTGTGATATTTCCCTGAGTCCCTGGTCACTGAGGGCATAATTGAGGTATTTTTTGTGTGTGAAAACGACATTAGCTTGTTGTGTGAATGGTAGAAACTGGGGAAGATGACCTCCATCTTGGAAAACCTTTCCCACCTACTGCATTCCACTGTGGAGACTGGATGTGCATGCACTACAATAGGTCATTCATCCCCTCCACAGTACGAGTCTCCTCAGTTTAACTGGTACTGGCATTATCCTGTTACACAATAACATCAATTTGTAATTCAGTATGTGTTCAATACTTGTGCAATACCTGATGTATATTAGTATGTCTTTGTGCCTTACGCTGCATACGTTCTGAAAACCCAAGTTTTCTTTTTATTCATTGTTTCTAGTGGTTGAAGGTTACGATATTAGCTTTTTGTCTTTGTGTATTTATCCTGTAATCGTGTCTTTATTTTTCTTCTTCCTTTTCTTCAAGTGTATATGCTGCTGTAGCAAGTGAATTTCCCCACTGTGAGAAAAAAATATCCTATTCTACTCTATTCTATGTGGAGTGTATCCATCCATCCATCCATCCATCCATCCATTTTCTTCTGCTTATCGGGGTGAGTCGGGTCACGGGGGCAGCAGCCTAAGTCGAGAGGCCCAGACTTCCCTCTCCCCAGCCACTCGGGTCAGCTCTTCCGTGAGAATTCCAATGCATTCCCTGGTGGCCAGGTGAGAGACATAGTCCCTCCAATGTGTCCTGGGTCTGTCTTTAGGCCTCGTCCTGGTTGGACAAGCCCGTAAAACCTCACTAGGGAGGCGTCCAGGAGGCATCCTGACCAGATGCCCGAGCCACCTCAACTGGCTCCTCTCGATGTGGAGGAGCAGCAAATGTACTTCAATGTGGAGTCTAATTTCCCAATATGTGGATATCTTGCCTTTGATTAGCTAACAATAAGGCAACTCTACCACCGGCTCTGTTTGCTCTGCAACATTAATATTTTATTTCCACAAGCCTGAAGGAGCTCTGCCATGTTGTGGAGTCTCCAATGCTAACAGTTAACTTCTGCTAGTCGAGACGTTCTCTGCTTTTGCCTGGACGCTAAATAAACAACAGCCAAGATGCGTGAGTACATGAATGTTAAATGACAGTGTGTCATAGATCTGTCATGCTTTTCATATCCTGGAGTTTTACCGTCGAGTTTCAGAATAGAAGCTAATACCGAAAATAGGGGTAGATGTCTATTTTCATTTTCAGACTTCATAACAAACTTAGAGAAACTGATTATAATAAAAACAATTTTTTTAAAATATGTTTTAAGTGAAGTTGACATTAAGCTTAAATGAGTAGAAAAAAGTAAGTAAAACTTCACAGTAAAATCCCGAGTGTCAAATAAGTGGTGTCAGAGTATGGAAACTATCAGAATCTATTCAATTAAAGAAAGTGAAAAACGCTGTTTTATGTCTTCAGAGATAAAACATCATTTTAATAATGACTCTTTACAGTGTAACCTGTCAGGTGTTAAAGGGCATGTACTTTTTTGAAGTCATCATGCCTCTGTAATACTTTGTTGATTAAGTTTCTCCAAACAGAGGATAAAAAGACATCAATGGGCATTCTGCACTTCATCCAACTGAACACCAGTACTGAAAAGCTGTAGGACAACAACTGTGAGGAGGAAGGAAAGGGCTGGAGCACGCTGACGAAGACACTATTGTTGAAACGTTAGTTGCTTTCATCTGCACCTATTAAGAATTCTTCTTTGACCCTAGTGCTCCAGCCTTTTTCAGAGTGGGAATAGCTCTGCCTTCATCTTCCTCCTTGTGCAAGACCTTCTAGAATTTTTCCCTCACAATTTTGAACTTCTCCATCAAACACTTGACTTTTTGACCAAAAATTTTCTGTCATTAATGTCTAAGCAACTTATTAAAGTACTAAACAGGAAGTGCTCTGCGCTTTGTCCAATACTGACGCTACAGCTGAAGAACAGAACACATATGGCAAGGAACAGGCTGGAGCACACTTCTCAGTTGAGAAGTTTTATTAAGAGGCGCAAACTTAAACTTCAACACGAGTGTCTTTTTTTTAATTCTCACAGTGTTGTTAGCTGTTGATTTTGAACTTCAGGGAAAGCTCGTAACAATTGTTCTGACCAAAATTTTGACTTTGTAATCAAAGATATTCTTCTCATACTCAAGAGTGGAACAAGCATCCAATAACTTGTTGATTACATACAACCCTATGTGCTTGCTGTACTGAAATCAGCAATAAAATTATAATAAAACAATTGATGATTTTTTTGTGACTCTGACTAGATTATTTTCATAATTTCATTAAAAGCCTGTGAAAAATAGATTTCTCACTATAACACTTGAAAAATAGCAATACCATATTTAAATATCACTTTTATTTTAAATATCATGTTTATTTTATAGTCAATGTATATTAACAATTGTGTGTGTTGATGAAGGTTAACTCTATGACAGAATTTAAATAATCAGCGTAAAATTTACTGGATATTTAACACTGAGACTAGTGTAACTTTAACACTGTATGGTGGGACCATATTTTCACTGGCTCAATGTTTAAATTGACTCTTGGTGTTGTATAAAGACAGCTCATTTTAATGCGTACCTCATATTTAAACATTTAGCTGTGGAAAGCAAATTAAATAATAAGTGTACTTTCTTACCTCTGTGCAGCTAATTTCCTGATCACAAAAATGTTAAAGAAGAAGGAAATAGGCACCCTTTCACCTCAAGCCAATGGTTGGAAAAAAGATGTGAGCACAGATTATGAGGTTTTAAGAGGGGGAGGATTTATTTTTTTTTTTGTTCAAATCACTGCCATAACTAGCTGAACTTGTTTCCTTTCATCAAGCATACTTAAAAATGACAGCAGTTCAGTTTCATTACACCTTTAGTCATGCTGTGACGTAAAAGATTAAAGCACAACAGAAAAGCACATTTCTTAAATTCAGAGGCAGCAAGTTGAAATGTTTGTTTTTAAAAGACTTTTCCATGTCGTCAGACATTCTAAATCAGTCCAGGGTGTACACCGTGCCATTTTTGCTGCATTTCGAGCCGATATAATCCATCCATGCGACAATCTTTGAGGTTGGGTCTAGTTTTGTGTCGTGCGTTGTGTAACGTATACGGGTACAGTGTACACTTCAGAACAGCTTCAGGTCACAGGTGTCAAGCACGATAGAGAAATAAATCATTAATTCGAAATCCCATCAGACATCTGACTTAACCCTTTATAGGGCCAACGTCTATATTCAGACACTTCCACTCACACCATAAAGGATGCCGGTGTACCTTTTCACAAATTCTTAGAATTACGGGATTTCACCCAAACAATCATTAGAGATCAAGCTAGTCACGGTTTGCACCGTGGCACCATTCCACTAATCGGTGCAGGGCTACAACGCAGCAAATATTGGTGTGTCTGCTCGGTCTCCTCTCGTGTTTCCGATCAAATCTCTAAAACTATCAATGCTAGGTTTGTGAAACTCTCACATCACAAGGTTGACTAGTTGTGCTGAATACGGATATATGTGTTGTAAATCTTAAACTCAATGAAGTTGGTGAAATCATCACATGAAAATCAAATCTGCCATATTTGAACATACGCCCTGAACAAGTAAATAAATGTATAGACATATTCAGGTAAAATCTGTGTTTTTTTTTTTTAGATATAACATTATATTCATGGTAACGGTAATAATAATTTGCATTTTTAAACTAAGATTTCTCTGGGAAATGGAGGATAGTTATTGTGCCAATCAATCTCACCATCAGTGATGATGAGGAAGAGGAAGAAGATGACATTGAGGCAGAACCTCAATTATAAAATATTCTAATAATCTATATTTGATCAGAAATAGTATCTATTATTAAATAAATGTTAAATAATATTCCACAGTAATCCGCTTTTATAAAAATGTTCTATATTGTTTAATAACTGTGATATATTCTGTATTTTTGAACAATGATATAATGTTCTAAAGTTAGCTAGATTGTTCTAAAGCATTATCATTCTTTTCCTCGTCTTCGGTTGTTATTAGAATAGTTTTATTCTTTCCATCTTTAGTTCTAGTGTGATCTTATTTTAGTAACTGCGTCTTATTGTTTGATCTGATTCTGTTTCAGGTCTCTTGTGTTTCTGTATTTCCTTCCATCCCTTAGCCAATTAATAACACCTGTAGGCTCTTTGTCATTAACATTCACCACACCTGTTTCCTCTTGCCTCAGTAGCTCCCTAAACCTAACCCCCTCCCAGTCCTTTACTCACTGGATCCTACCAAAACCATGACAAAATCCTCAGACAGTATTTAATGAAATAAAGTAAAAAAATAAAGTTATGCTTATCCATAAATACTGATGCACTTAATCAGTAATGTTGATTATTGTCTTAAATACATAAACATCTGGGTGACTCTAAAGTTTCAGCCCTGAATTCCAGACAAAACAAGAAGTAGTTTTCTTTGGACCAAATCTCCTGAAAAGGAAAGTGCCTAAAAAATCACCAGATTCCAACATTAATTCACCTCCGAGAACAAAAGTGGAAACCTTAGTTTTATCTTTCACCAGGAAATTCAATTAAAAAATCACGTTGAGCAGGTTTGTAGGAATTCCTTCATCCATGTCCAGAACATTATTGAGATTTGAAACATCCTGTTCAGGGCTAATGCAGAAATGGTAGTTTATGCATTCATTACCTCAAGACTGGATTTATGTAATTCATTAATATCAACAAGTTGACAAAATGTAGTCAAAAGTCTTCAGCTAATCCAAAATACTGCTGCTATAGAGGTCTTGCACCTTGTCTACTTTTAAGATGTGGATTAAAACTTTTTGTTTGTTTGATAGCGCTCATGGGTACATTTTGAGTGATGTTAGGCTAGTTGCGGATGGGTACGGGAGCAGAGGGAGGAGGTGTACACAGCGGGGAATACAGTTGGTAAAGAAGGTTCTCCCTGGTCCTGCCTCCCACAGGCCTCCATCTGAAAGGCTAGGTTATCCTGAGTTAGCTCTGTAGTTATGCTGCTATAGGCTTATACTGCTGGAGGACATGCTGACCACTTTCCACACTCTGCTACTTTTGTCTACCATTACTCCAAATGCATTATTTCCTGTTATTTTAGCTGCTAACTTCACGTTGCTGCTAACTTCATGTCCAAATACAAACTAACTCACAAATGACTCATTTAAAATTTCCAATCATTTCTTGGGTAACTAATCAAATCTGTATCATACACAGTGCTAAAACTAGTAGAGATCAAAACAAAATACTGAAACACACATCGTCTTGTTTTGTAAATTACAGTTAGCTCAGTGACTGCAAATAAAAGTTAGCACATTTTCCAGGTTTTCTGAGTTTTGCATTGAGTAAGGTGGAGTTAAACGTTTCAATTAGTTTTAAATTCAGAAATAAATCAGCTGTAAATGGCTTCCAAGCCAACCCCCACCCATTCTGTGCCAGGCCATCGTCATTCATTGTAAATTCAAACTTTATCATAAAATTCCAGGGCCTGAAATTCACTTCTAAAAATGGTGGTGTGGTGTGGGGGGGGGGGGGGGGGGGGGGGGGATTCCCCCCTCACATATGTCTGCACAGGGGGAATTTATATATGGGGGGATTACCGAATGTGCAGTCTTATGTTGTTCTAATCATACCTTACATCACGTTTATGAGCAGCTTTCATTGGACTCCTGCAGCATTCTCATCTTTGTTGCTCTTGTCCCTTTCTTTGTTTCATCTCCTCTGCCTGATTTCTTCCCTCACACAGAAGTTAGAAAATGAAATATAAACTTTCCAGGAACTACTTGTGGGATTAACAATAGGCCTTAACATAGTTGTATTCTTACCTCAGATTGATGCATTTATTAACTTTTTTTAATCTTCCTTAGTGGTCCTCATTGCTGCATCTGTGGCCATCTTTTCTTTTGTCTGAATGTTGTCTTTTTCTTGGCCTCTAACCCTGCATCTTTCTCCATTGTAATAACTTTGAAGTATAAAAATCAAATAAAAATGCTCCTTTTTGCTACACTGGTATTAGAAATTATCTGAACAATTTTCATTGCTGAAGTCCAACTTTCTGGGCTGCATCTTTGCTCTTGTTTGTGCTTCTTTATCTGTTGTCTCCACCTTCACTTCTTACTCTGATTTCTGTCTCTGAATTATTCTATCTCAAACTGATAAATTTTCATTAACCCAACTTTTAACACAAACAGTTTTGTTGATGTGGCATCAAACACAATTGCAACTATGTTCCGTACATTATTGTATCTGTTAGCTCACAGTACTAATTAGTTTTGGAGCGGGGTTCTCCCACGCTCCGCTTGGTCCTCTGTCCTCTCTGTCTTCTGTCTCCACTGCTTCATCTCATTCCATTTGATAAAAGCTCGGTTGAAATCAAACTGCTCTTGCGGAGGGCCATTTTACAAATGGAGCAGTTCATTTCACCATTACTATTTTCAAGCCAGGGATAAAGTCTGAGCCAGTTAGCCTGAAACTTATCTTAGGCTGCTTGCTGACGTTACTTTCAGTGATGCTACCTTTTTGAAAGTCCGGAGGATCTGTCTCATTCACAGCATCGCTGGAATCAGCGCTGCCTCCCGCCCTGCCTCCAGCGCCTCCTCTCTCGCTGCCTTCTGCGCTGGGGATTTCTTGTAAAGTTTTTTTGGGAGCAGGTTCCCCTTCGTTGTTAGATTTCTGTTTTAACCAGCGGTCCATGTCTGTGTGCAGCCGTTAAATCCGACAACCGAAGCACTGCTTTGCTGCTAGCAAGGGACTGAGCTCGTATTTTGATAAATGGAGAAAAAAAAAATCCAGCGCGCCGCCAATCACCAAGATGAAGAACGGGTTCGATGTTGTGGGATTTTAATGGCTCCGATACAAACGTCCACATTCGCTGCAGGCTGTGCGGGACTTTCCCGCATTATAAAATTAGATTTGCGAGAAGCGACTATATAACGCGCAATACCCACAATCCCGCAGTGAATTTCAGGCCCTGAATTCTTCAAACTTTCTCACATCACCATTAGGACATGTAGAATAATACGTGTGTGTCATTTACTGAATACCTCTTCGTGAGTGTTTCATGAAGTATGGGGAGTCTGAAAGGATGCATGCAAATCAGGACAGAAACGTTGACAGTGACGCAACCTCAGAGTCATGCAGGTGTCATGGGTTGAAGAAGAACCACAGCATTCCTTTTCATCCTCAGGGGAATGCCCATTGTGAACGGTTGAACCAAACACTCCATGGTTTTGTGTGATCCCTGACGCCTAATAAGAGACAGCCCTGGACTTAACATTTAGCAGAATTCATGTACACATTCACTTTACACCTACAGGCTACTTAGCTCTTAGGTGTTCACCCTTGTCTTTCCATAGGCATGCTGTTAGGCCAGAACCAGGAGTTAGAAGAAGCAAATGACTGTCCCCCTCAGAAGACCGTCAATGATTCAGCCAGGCAGTTGTTTCTTCCATGAGATTATGACACTTCTGTCGATGGGCAGACAGAGTATGTTGTTTTTGAGGAACGCACTGTAGCATTTTGGAACCATTACAGTTGCAGAGATTTAGACGCAAAGTTATTAAATGGGCCACAGCCAGGGAATGAACAAATACTGAGGACTAATAAAGGTGGGAAGTGTTAGCCTCAGGAAAGGTGAAGACAATGGGGCTGTTTCTGATTGTAAACCTTGTCAAATTTTGACAGCAAATGCAGAGTTGTGCTCAAACTCTCATCATAACTCTAGGTCAGCTTATAACGCCATCTCACTTAGTTCTCAGTTGTGGGAC